GGGGGGGGGGAGAGGGGGGGAGGGGCAGCTGACGTGCTGGGCTTGATAACCTCTTGGCCAAACCAGTCAGGATCACCTGTCAGAGGCTCCAAGATCTACCAATAGATCCCAATCTACTGGTTGGTGACCACTGTATTAGAAGGTCTGTGGTATGCAGTCATGGCACATGACTCCTACAATAGAGATTTGCAAAGGCAATTCATGGAAGAATACGGGGGGGAGGGGCAGCTGACGTGCTGGGCTTGATAACCTCTTGGCCAAACCAGTCAGGATCACCTGTCAGAGGCTCCAAGATCTACCAATAGATCCCAATCTACTGGTTGGTGACCACTGTATTAGAAGGTCTGTGGTATGCAGTCATGGCACATGACTCCTACAATAGAGATTTGCAAAGGCAATTCATGGAAGAATACTCTAAAGAGGTGAGCTAAGCAAAATAAGTATGTATTTCCTTTAAGATTTATAGTTCTCTACATAGGGATGAAATAGTATAGTCGATTAACTGATTAACCAATAAACAAAAGCTTATCAGTTACTGCTATAGACTACACACATTCTCTTCCCTCCCTCCCTGCCTTGCCAGTAAATTGTTTAGCAGGCTGACCAGCAGCTTGGTTCAGTCCCAGCTCAAGCCAGGTCTGGGACTTACCCCTGCTGCGGCTCTGCATTTGAAGTGTATTAGGAACTGGGGGGGCAGGCAGGCAGCCCAGCTCAGTTCCGGCTCGTGTCAGATCCAGGAGCTCAGACCACCCTCTGTCAGGAGCTGTTGTGCGGGGTGCCAGACAGGAGCTGGTACACGAGGGGAGCGAATTTAAAAACAAGATCCCCACATGGACCAGCTGCCTGTAGCCCCGTGCTACTGTCTCTGATTCAGACTAGCAGAGGGCTCAGGAATCGGCCAGAGTGCACTGGTTGCTGGCCCTAACCCAGCACTATAATAGTCGGGGACTACAGAATAGTCGAGTAACAGATAAGAATTTGTGAGGTTAATTGACTATTCAATTAACCACTATTTAATATCCCTAACTATACAGGGAACATATCACATGATACCTGCCTCTTAAAGAGCCATCTTCAATTTACAATACCAATACAGATGCCAAATACATTTTATCTTTGGTCTCCTTACTTCAAAGAGTTTGAAATAAGTTCCATGCTAAAGAGAAAAGTCTTTTGCAACAACTGCTTCCAGCGCACGTTTTTTGCAGGATCCTTTTATGAGGAAGCTTTCATGGGATTTTATTTGCACCAATGGTACTTCTAAGGCTAGTTCTGCAGCCAGAAACACCACCAGAGAAATCACTTGCTAAAGAAATACATGAATCCCTGTTAAAAGTAAAATGCTATGACTGCATTATTACACTCTTCAGAGCTACAAGCAAGATTATTCCTGCCTCTGAAATTTTGAAGCAGTGCTAGTATTGATGTACTGAGATTTAAGCTCAAGCTATCACAGACTTGACATAATGCTCCAAGAGACTGCCTTCTACTCGTTTTCAGGACTAGGGATGTTACATTTTGATTAATCAGCTAAATGAGTTGTTAATGGAATTTCCATTGACTACCCAATTAGTTGATAAGGGCTCTTGCTACATTTCAAAGGCAGAGGCGCAACAGGGAACCTGGACAAGGGAGGCAGAGGCGCAGCGGGGAACCCAGGGTGAGTGGGGACCGTTTCAGGCCCCACTCGCACCGCCTGACTGCTGAATCTCTGCCTTTGAAACCTGCAGTTCTTGCGACCTTTAAAAAGCAGAGGAGCAGCTTCTGAGACTGAGCATGAGCCAGGACAGCTGATTCCCAGCTTGTGCCTGGTCCTCTATTGTGCCTCTGCCTTCCCTGCCACTCCAAAGAGATGGTGCTCGGGTGAACCAGCTTTTAAGCCAGCACCCCCCCGGATTGGCTCCTACTCCCACCTCTTGCTGCTTCTGATTGAGGTAGCAAGGGGAGAGGGGGAAGCGACTAGTTGAGTAGCAACTCAACTACCTGATAAGCATATGCTTATCAGGTAGTCGTCTACGCCACTAGTCATTTATGTCCCTATTCAGAACTTCTAATCTCAAGTATATTTTAGGAGCCAGAAACACTTATGGTATTGAGCAGCACGTGCACAGAGACCTTTTATAGTTCTTTCAAATAAAACATGTTTCTAAGCCAAGGTAGACAGTGTGGGCAGGAATACACCAACAGAAGGTAACAGTGAAGAGAGGATTTGTCAGTCAAGGATAGGGACAGTCACATTCCCACAGAACACTGGGATCACACTAGAATAGCCAATGTTCAAATGTTATGTTAAGAACTGAATTTCTAGGGAAGTGCTATTATGCAGGACCACTGTTCTAAAACATGCTTTGTGCAAAGCACAACAAACAAAAAAAGCATGTTAGGGGACTGCAAACACAGGTCATTACACTTACAGAGCTTAGGAGAGGAAAGGAAAAAAACAGAAACCAAATAATTCAAAAAAAAGGAGCAGAAAGTCAGATAACATGACTGTGCAAACTACTTAAAAGAGATTTCTCATTCACAAAATACTGTTTGATTGCACAAATCAGACTGAACTGTAGTTAGAGTTGAGGGCAGACAGGTGTGGGGGGGGGGGGGGGTCTCTTTATAAGTGACCTGATACCAGCCACTATTAGTTGCTGTTGTAATATTCCAGAGTAAGTGCTTGTAAGGTGCAAGTGTGCAGCTGCAGAACTAGGAATGTAAGTGACTAGTAGACTATCCAATAAGCAAAAGCTTATAAGATAGTTGACTAGTGCCTCTATTAATCGCTTCTCCCTGCTGCCTCTATCAGAGGAGCAAGGGGGAGAGGGAACCTGATACCAGCCACTATTAGTTGCTGTTGTAATATTCCAGAGTAAGTGCTTGTAAGGTGCAAGTGTGCAGCTGCAGAACTAGGAATGTAAGTGACTAGTAGACTATCCAATAAGCAAAAGCTTATAAGATAGTTGACTAGTGCCTCTATTAATCGCTTCTCCCTGCTGCCTCTATCAGAGGAGCAAGGGGGAGAGGGAGGAGGAACCAGTGCTTTTAATTTTCACTTACAACATACAGAATACATCTAGAGACATTTTAAAATAAGTTACATTTTGTCTTAGTCAGACATGGCACAAGTCAATCTGTAAGGAGGTAGTACACATCATAGCTTTCCTAATCATCTGCTTTATAAGCAGTTGTTCTTCAGAAATAAGGAAGCATTATTCCATGAAGTTTGTTGATTAGTAAAAAGTAACATTACAATTCAGTCTACAGAAGAAAGTAGAAAGGAAAAACTTTAGTTGCCAGACAACATAAAGAGTTGCCAGACAACATAAATCTTTTAGCTCTCCCCGTCTAGCCAGGAATACAATCACCAGTTTATAAATATAAATATACAGTCTGGCTACGTCTAGACTGGCCCCTAATTCCGGAAAAGTCATGCAAAGCAGGTAAGTCAGAATAGGGAAATCCGCTGGGGATTTAAATATCCCCCACGGGATTTAAATAAACATGTCCGCCGCTTTTTTTCCGGCTTGAGGAAAAGCCGGAAAAAAGCGTCTAGACTGGCGCGATCAAGTAGGAATAAGAGATCCTCCGGAAAAGGGCTTTATTCCGGAGGATTGCGCCAGTCTAGACGCTTTTTTCCGGCCTTTTATTTAAATCCCCCGCGGATTTCCCTATTCTGACTTACCTGCTTTGCATGACTTTTCCGGAATTAGGGGCCAGTCTAGACGTAGCCTCTGAATATTCCATGTCTTCAGCACATTACCTCCCAGCACAACAGTCCTTGAATATTCTGTGCTTCCAAAGCACCTGCTCTGTCACAGTACACAGCTGGCTAAGTGAGCTATAGAATTTAAATACCATCCATCCCATCACTAATTCAAAATTTTTGTAAATGGTAACATTGTAATGTGTGTCTGCAAGATGCCGCCACTGGACTGAAACTAGTCTTCATAATAAGATGTGATTTTTTTATTATGAAAATACTGACAGCGTGCTTAACTCAATCTTTTCAGACAATCGTTTTGTAATACTATGCGTGTGACATTTTAATGATACAAAGTTAAATGAACTCACCATTTCAGTGGTGTACCTTCGTATTCAAACCATATCTCAGTAACATCTTCTTGTCTCATAACCTTCTGAAAGTGTTTTTTCACTTTGTCCGTTACCAGTGTCAAGTAGCTTATTCTAGGTAAAAGCAACTGAAAGGAAAGTTTGCACAAGCAGGTGTAATTTATTTTTAAATTTTAGAAATCTAATGTAAAGCCACATATATGTTCTGGTTTTCTAGACAAAATATACTGTTGACTTTTTTTCCACATGCCATGCTTTCAGACAGTAATAGTAATTTGCCTCTTAAATACCATTAAGAAGTTAATGCTATCAAATGATATTTGTATTAAAATAAGATTTTTAATATAACTGGCATTAGCCCTGAAAATACTTTAACACCAAAAATCGTTTATACATTTTTTTTCTTTGTCACTCCATGCAGCTGGAAGGAGACAGAGGTAATTTACTAAAAGGCAATTACTTAGTGGTCAGGTACAGTTACATTTCTCATAACTGGACCCTTTTCTTTTACAGAGCAAAGAATAAAATAGAGTAGCCCATTTAATTATACAGGATACATACATTACTATAAAATACTGCTTGAAAATAAAGTTTCATGTGAGCTAAAAATTTTGATCAGGTAAACATTTGATTAAATTTTAATATGAACTTTTCAAATTACTGTTAAATTCGCTGTGCATCTTGTGAGCTCCATCTCTTTCATATTTTGTATTCACATTTGATACCCATCAAGATGGTTGCTATTTTTTTCCCAAGTCCTTAAAACCCCACTGAATGTAGCATTAAAAACAAAAGGAAAAATGTTTCATTTTATAAAATGAAACAAAACACACTCTATGCAATTCACCTTTTAAGTACAGGTTGAACCTTCCTGATCCAGCACCCTCAGGACCTAACTAGTCCCAGATGAGGGATTTTGCTGGACCAGAGGATATC